TAAATAAGACCAACTAGTCCGATGCGAGCCAGGTCCAATCCCTCTCCTAACTCAGGAGCAAATACAGCTGACCAATTTCTTACTGAAATTAAGCAGAATGGCCCCAGGCTCAGACCCAGCAGGTTCCCTTCCCACGCTGCTCAGCCTAAGCCAAACTTTGAGCGAGGGACAAAAAAGCATCACTGAAACGGAGATGTTTCTCATCTTTGCATAACAGAAGCAGTGAGAGCAGCCCAGGAGAAGGGGTGCATGAATTTCTGACAAGGCGCCAGTCTGACAGCATCCTGATGGACAGCCGCTACCACCAACAGATGGTACTAAGGGACTTCCTGGGAGCCATTCTGCAGAATCAAAGGTAGGTGGGAATCAGTTCATTATCTGCTCACCGCAGGAATAAGACAAGGTCCTTATTGCTGTCTGGCTTCCAGATGTGAAGCTACTGGATTAAGTATCATCTTTCAGATACACTCAGAGAAAGAATAAAGCTCTTACCTGACCCCATAACCCAGCCCTTCCCTTACGTGGGCAAGTAGGGTGCAGATAAGGAACAGCCTGTCCTGAGCCAGCCCACACCACACACACCAGCACATCACTGTGCTGTCTTCTCACCCTCATAATTCAGTAAAATAGCAGTGGAAAAAAGAATTTCTCTCTCAGTCCCAGTTATGCCATCACTGCCCTGTTCTCTTCTTTCACAGACCTCAGGACATCAACAGCAGTCAGTTAGAAGGCTTTCCCAGCACCCTGGCTAAGCTCATGTAAATATTTCTCCCTTTTTCATCTCCCCATGCTCTGGTGAGTACCATTCCCTGCCCAATTCTGTACATAACACACTGCTTCTGCACTGCTCAAGCAGTTTAGAGGCTCTCCTTCACCAAAGCCAACTCCCGCTGCTGTCCATGAAAAAGGGTGCTTGCTGCAATTTAAGGGGAAAAAAACCTCCCAGTCAATTTTGTCAAGTACCTAAAGTCCTGTTAGTCTGAGCAGATAGACCATGAGTGTTGTGAAGCCGCATGTGGATGTCTGGGAACAGGCTTGCAGCAACCAAGAGCAGCCTTGTAAAGCTATCTGAGACTGCGTGCCCGAGTGTCTAAGCTAGGCTAAAGGCAGACAAAAGTCTTCCCTGAGGAGCAGAACCTGCCTCTAGGTCCCTGGGACACTTCAGGTTTTCCCTGCACTGAATAGGAGAGGAAGTCTTACTGTTTTCTGCACCCCTCACTCCTGAAAGTAGTCACCTGGAACTTGAATTATGCTCTAAATCTTGTCAGCCCTGGGGGACCAAGAGCCAGCAGACAGTCCATCCTTGGGAATACCTTCACTGGTACAAATGTCAGTTGTCCTGTTTGAAGCAACCCCATCTTACTCCTCTGTCCCACAGAAATTAAGCCTGTCCAACCCTAGCCAGCACAATATAAAGGGGTGTGGAGAGACCTGTGTGCATACTAAACAAAGAGGGGGCTGGGGAGGGGGGGGAAGATCAGAACTTTACATTAATTATGCCTATGGATTCAGCTGGGAGAGCATGGCATTTCAGTATCTCTCTTGCCATGCTGACTTGGTTACCTTCCCACAAAGGTCAGACAGGAAAAGCCTCCGAAGAATGAAAAAACTTCTGCGTGTGCTCACAAAGTTTTCTCATAATTCTCTTTTCCTCCTGCTTCTGTCTAGAATAATTCAGAGCTCATGGATCTAACTGTACAGTAAGCCCTTCACAGCAATGAAGACATTCCTGGATGTGACAAGCTGGGAACTGATGCATACACTCCTCAGATCTGTTCAAAGGAATGCAGTTATGATGCACTACTTAATTTACTTCAGTTTTTACAATTTAACTCCCCTCTCGAAATACTGGTCTGTGTACTGGAGCAGAAAAAAATACCTCCGTGGTTTAACCTCAGGCTTTACATACAAAGACTAAAACAGCCAGTACACTTGTAATCCTGGGTACATATTGTCTACTAATTAAGGCTTTCAAATCATAAAGCGTAGCAAAATTTCTGCCAAGTCATCATTCTGTTTGCGGGCCTGATTAATAAACATGAGGCCACCAGAAGGCACCTTTAGGCAACTTAATAAATTGATTACAGCCTCCTCTAAATAGATGCTGATGGCACAACCACACACGCAGCTCAGATCAGGGTGAGGTAAGACATGAATCCACACGTCTACCACCCATCAGAAACGCCGCTGTGGGCTGCTGCTGTCTAGCTCCTTGATACAGAGCCCCGGCAGCAAAACCGAACTCTAAAAGGCTCAGCTACAGTTACTGCTCAGCCTTGAGGTGTTCAAGCTGAAGCTACAGCTCTGCTCTGCAAGAGTTAAAGGAGATCCCTGTGCATCAGATTGGGCTGTCACTATGTTTTAATTCAACGTGCCATCCAGTGGCTCTGAACTCCACCGTGGCTAGGGTTACAACCCTAAATGTTTTCAAAGAATTAAGTTATTAACCCAATGATCTCACTCAGCTACTTCCTTCCTTGTCACCCCAATTCTCCTACTGTTTGTGTAATAATTATGTCTTCAGAAATGTAAATAATGTCAGGCTGGGGTCTGCTTTCCCATCATTAGCGGGAAATAAAAGTTGTTCTAAATAAACCTGTCCAACAGCAGGTCAAGATGGCTCTTTGTTGAGACGTTCGTTTCTTGAGTCTGGGCCCAGAATGGAAGATGTCGCTCAAAGATAGTGCTCAACTGCACCGAGGATGACTCAGAGCTGTGCTAACGAAGGCACCAGGTCGGAAATACGGTGGCATGCAAACATATATTAATGCCTCTGAAATCATCCCTCCTTGCGCCCAAACAATTCCTTGACAGTCTGCAGTAGATACCATGTCATTTTTCCACAGGTGACCCGTGTTTTAGGACAGCAGGCTCCAGCATGCACGGAAATGAATTCATACTTGCACCAAATCCCTACAGATTACATCCTTCCCCATTCAGGTTTTACAATTCCAGCACTATGAAAATAGTACTAACTGCCCGGCAGGATGGGAAGCAACGAGACGATGTTGAGGGAGATCAGTGAAGTGCACTAATGGGTTATCCGTTACCCTTCCACAGGCAGGCAGCTGGCACAGTCAGACATAAGCCATCCTTCCGCTTCACAGTACAGCCGGACAGAGAACCCGCGAAAGAAAAAACCACCTGAGAAGGCCTCGTTCAAAATGTATTTGTAAACCTGTTCTGTAACAACTAGCACACTTGAAGCCATTAGGACTTACTTGCTCCAAGGAAAGGAATTATAAAAAAGCAGCAGCTTCCTAAAGTAGTAAGTAAACATGGTGGCAAAAAATTTAAAATCCTGGTAAGTGGCATAAAACCTATATGCAAACACTGGATTGGATACTCCGGCTAAAATCAAAAGACCTATCAAAAACACTTTGGAAAGACTAAGTCTGTATGATTAAACAGCTGGGTGAGTGCAGCTATTTGGAATAAAAGGGACTCCTTGGAAAGTTCAGTTTGCGTTAAAATGAGGATACAAATGCTCAAACTCTGGGAGATTAAATATAAAAACACATAAAGCAAACCATAACAAACATACACATAAAACACACCAGAAAATGTCTGAGGAATAAAAGGCCAAAAGAATAAAACCCACCTTTCCTAAGGCATAGCCAAGGAGGTAGAAAAATCAATAGCAACACGCACAGCTTAGAGAAGATACACCACAGTAGCACTCCATGATTTTCTTTTTGCATCTGTGCTCTCCTTGGGTAACGTGCCAGAGCTCTACAGAGAACGTAGTGGAGGATCTGTCCCAGCATGAGGCATCAGTAGAAAAATAAGTTATAAAACAAAGCTGGTAAGTGAGCAGGAACAAAATACGAGGCTCAAAAAGAACTCACCAGGGAGAAAAGGAATTCCACGGTAAGATACTACAAATAGTAACAACTATTTCTTGCTTAAAACTCCTCTAGTCCCAGAGGACTTTAATGCAGCACGAGATCAGGTTTTTGAAGGAGTGCAGAAGGAGGTTAATGGAATTCATTAAACCTCTATGGTGCCCAGTAAAACGTTCACAATGAACAAATGGGTAGGAACTATTACGAAGAACAGAAACACAGTGAGCTAAGCGTGAACAATGGCAGTGGGGAAGAGGCAAGATGGCTTTTATAAAGTGGAGTCATGTCTCACACATGTGAAGTTCTTCCGAGGACTCGGCTCCACACCCTTTATCCACATGCCTGCTGGTTGATATCATTTTCTGAGATCTCCAAAAGACATTTGATAAAGTTCCTTTGCCAAAAGGCCTTTAGAGAAACCAGTCTGACACGGGACAAACAGAAGCCAACACAGAGATGCAGGGGAGGGAGCAACTGTTAAGTTTCCCATGTGGAAGTTGCTCATCAGGAGGAGATTTTGGCCCTTGGTTATTACTATCAGTGCATCCCTCAATAAAGCCCCAGCCTGCTGCCTCAACACTGCTTAGTGGTCTGGAAGGCGGTGATTAATTGAGAAGTTAGAGCTCAGATAACTCACACGTGGCCACACGGCAACCAGCAGATTCCCGGCATTCGGCTTCACAGAGGAACGGAGACAATAACCTCAGTCAAACTCCTATTTGGAGTGAAAAGGTTACTTCCAGAGGCTGGAAAGAAAGCGAACCCACTCAAGGGACCCACCAAACCTGCCAGGGTCAGACACAGCCAGGCACGCCAGCACCGCAGCTGGCTCCCCGCAAGGGCCAGGCCCCGAGGACTCCTCCTGCCTGAGCCTCGAGGGCCCACAGCAACTCGGCACAGCCCAGCCCGGCGCCATCCTGAAGTCAGAGAGAACAGCCATCAGCGGAGAAACGCAGATGACAGCGTCACGCAAGGGGAGAGGCAGGAGTGGGAAGTCCCCCCCAATAAACATGTCCCTCTGGGAAAGGACATGAAAGAACAGGAAGCTTCACACAGCAATGACTCATACACAAAATTACCCACCAGAAAAAGCTCTTTTCATTCTCATGTGAGCCCCACTTCCAATCACAGCCCGAGACAGCCAGAAAACAGAATTCAGGACCATTCTTTCCTCTTTATTCACAAATCATTTAGGATGAGGAGAGGGCATCTGGGGAAAGGCAGAATTGTATTCCCCCCCCCCTCTTTTACTAACAGAAATTCAAGCCTCCTGGGAGAAAAAGGGGGGAGGATCCAGGGAACAAAGGATTTTTGGGATTCATATGAAAAGCACTCAAGTAGCATGAACACAACGATGAAAATCATATTTTTAAAAAAGTGTAACTGGCACCCTTTTGACTTAATATAAAAAAAAAATCTGCTTTTGCCTTCCTTCTTCTTGTCTTTCAGTTATTTATTCACTTCTGTTCTGAAGGCATTTGCCTTGTTTTTCCCCATTTCTTCCATTCTTCTGGTACTAGTGTGTCCTAGAAAGAAAAACCCAAAAAATTAACTCTTCCAGGCAACAAAGCACACAGTAAAAGTGTCCCCAGACCCCTCATTCTCTCTTAAAGGAAGCTTGTCAGAGAAGCTTCTCAAAGGAAACTTTTTGGAGTCATAAAACCAGTACTGCAATGGAACGGAGGACTGAATTCAAGGAGGATGGAAATGGTCAGACAAAATGAAGGTTAATTTCTGGTGCAAAAGGAATGAATGAGCCTTGTAAAATACAGAACTGAACAAAAAAAGCAGGGCTGAACGCAAAGCCTGCGGGTACCTTAACTGCTCTTCTACTCTAAACAGGGCCAACCTATCCACTTGCAATCAGTTGGTCCACGTAAACACAAAGAAGAGATCTCCATGTCCCCAAGATGAAGTAATCTAATGTGGGCACAGCAGACCCATCTTTTTGGGGTCCTTTTCCCTTCCAGATGCCAGACACAGGCACAGCTATGGATGCTGAGCACGTGACAGTCCAGCCCTAGAAGCTGGTAACAGTACAGTCTTAACTGACATATCTGGGGCATCAGAAAACCCAGCAATAAGGACAAATGCTTGTGACCGCACATGGCAGCAAAACCTAACTTACGGGTTGTGGATAATAAGCAAGATCTTCCAGGGTTACTCACAGCCCACGGGAAATTAAGGAGTTAAAATACCAGGCTGAGAAACAGAAAACATGCAAGCTGTGGAGAACATAACTGTGAGGTGTTTGTTAACAGGCCACTAAAAAGCTGAAAACCACTGGCCCAAAGCTATGGTAGAAAGAAGCATCCAGGGACCAAACAGCACCAGCACACACAGCCAGGGTGCAGCCAGCATTCATCTACTAGAACAAGCGACAGCCGTCTCCAGTTCCTCGTCATAGCTTGTTCCGTGCTCAAATACCTCAAAACACTCCAGGGAGGGAAGAGATAGTAACAGGGTGCTGTTCTATGGGACACAATGCCAAATTCTCCACAGGTAATTTTCACGAAACCATCCTCCACACTATCTGATCTGCAGACAGGAGCTTATACCACAGTGCACATCGTTTCTGCGACACAGCCACCCACGCTGGTTTTGTCTTGCACCACAAAACTGAGCTCTGCTCAACGCACTCTGTGCGTGTGTGCCTGGAGCACTGACTATGAACGTGAGAGAAAGCAGACGCTCATGAGATGTACCAGTGCAGCACGTTGTGATTTCAGTCCCATCACAGGACTTGTCCCAGATGCTCCCTCCCTTCCCCAAAATAAAACGGTGCACTGACCGAGAAATGAAGCCACACACACGCATCAGAATTGGGCAGCATGCAGACTGGCAGGCAGTTCTGCCTCCTACGCCACCGTGGATATAGCAAACTGGGGCCTTACCTGCTCGGAACGAAGGGAAGCGAAGGGCTTTGCACTGGTAAACAATAACGGAGACCTATCAGATGACTGTATCGAATGGAGGGGGTTGGCTGCTGCCGCTGACTGAGCCATCGTGGCCAGTTCAGTCCCATAGGAGGGTCAACCCTGGATTGGGTCGTGTTCTCAACCGAACGAGGTGGTGCTGACCTGGCTCTGCTGCACACAGAGCTCTCGCCACCCCAAGCGGGGATGTAATTCAGCAGTCGGAGTGCCTGGCAGCTGAATTAACCAGAATACTGCAGGTGGGGATAGGGAATACCAACGGCAGGATGGGAACAGCCCAGGTATCAGCCATTTTCATCATGTTCTCCTCCAGCCGACATTACTAATAATTTATTTACAGGAACAATACTGCTTAAACTATGTTTATTTCATCACCTGATAGCTGCTTGGTGCCCAAGACAACATATTCACATGTGCACATATCACCACACAGACTTCAGATGATTAAGGAAATCACACAAAGGTAATTTCGTCTCAGAGGACACATACTGCTAATATGCAAACCCAGCCATAGCCAAGGACACCCAAGGACTGATTTAAAGCCCAGTAAACGATGTTGGAAGGAAGCAGCTTCAGCTCAGATATCTTTTTGTACAAGGAGTGAGTGATGATGTGAAATGAAACAGGCAGCATGCCCAGGAAAGGCAAATTCCAAAAAGGCCCTTACTTCTAGAAGAGCTGGTCACTAGCAAAACCCCCTTTTACCGCAGTGTTCTATACTTTGCCAACCTACTGCTCTGCTCTGCAGCGATCCTGCCAAAAGGAGAAAGGAAGAAAGGTTCAGAGAAGATAGGAAGGAGGAAAGCAGCCCTGCTCCAGGAACCAGAGCCAGCAACAGAAATGCAAAAAGCAAAACCAGGCCTTCTGGTAACTTCTGTAAAAAGATAGTTTATACAGTCCCCCTTCCCACCCCTGCCAGCGGTCTCCATAGTGGAATAGCAGCTTTGCCTCAAAGTGCAATCTAGTTAATTATCACTGCACTTCAACATCTGAGGCAGGCTAGCAGGACGTTAACAAAAAGATGTCTTTTTGAACTTTAAAGTCAGGTACAAAGGGTTTAACTTTAGCCTAAGGTAGAAGTTTTACTTTCAAATTTGCCATTGTAGTTGCAGCTTCATGTCATTTACAGTGAAAAAGCATGGACACCCCCTGCAGTGTTTTGAAGTAGGAACCAACCACCTGCATTTATGTGCTAACAGAAGCCCTGGTTGAGCGAAGACACTTAGAAGTAAGCTTCATTGTATTCTTTTTCCCCAAATCTGTATCCTAGGCAATCTGTAATTAGTAAGTATTTTATCATTACTCTTTAAATTAAAAAGGGAGAAAGTGCCAGAGTGGAGAGGGCTGGACATCCAAGAGAGCAAGGCTGAGAAAGCTGGGAGGATGGTATGAAAGGGTTGATTACAATAATCATCCTCCCTGCTACAGCCATGCAAGTAGAGATGTTTTAAAGACAACAAATCAATGCAAAACCCCTGAAAATTATATTCTTGTGGTGGTTTTTTGTTGTTTTTGGGTTTTTTTTTTGTTGTTTTGTTTGTGTGTTTTTTTTTTTTTTACAGCTCTTGTCCTGGTCTTAATACAGTGTAATCAAAAAAGTGAGAACCCAGGGATATCTATGCAAATAGGTATGCAAAGATAAACAATTCCTAGTGGCTCAAAAAGGGGAAAGTAAGAAAATCACAGGTCGATGGCAAAGCAGGTCAGTAAGATCCTCTTCAAAGCCAAACTCTACATTAGTACAAAAGGGCTAAAACTTTAGTCTCACATGGAAACCCTGTGTGGCAGAAGTGAAGGAGAGGGAACGGTTCCACCTCTAATTAATGCACTGTATTGGAACCTTGGGTCAGCAAACTGCCTGCAGGCTGCCTGAGCCACGGCACATTCACGAGACACCGCGCGGCAGAAGACACAAGTGTGAAGAATCAGTCCAATGCCAGTACAGAAATGAATGTTGTACCCCTAACATTTATCAGAATTTTCCCTGTTTTGGCTTGCGTGTGTTGCACTTTGTCTGTTGCTGCACACCTCCAATAAGCACCTGCTTCCCTTTTCTCTATAATCCCCCTTTAGTTTGGGGAAGACAGCAGTAAGATACTCCCGCCTTACCTTCCTCCTCTTAAAACTTCTCTCACAAGCACAGCTACAGAAGAGTTGGACCTCTTCTGCATTTATAGCAGCTTTCATTACCTGACAATATTGTAACAGCTTGATACATCATGTAGTACAACAAATTCGTCAGTGAATGCATCTCGCCAAATGTGGGTTTCCCCACGTCAGAGTGCACATGCTTCCACCCTTTGCTTTCTCCGTGTGCCTGATGGCTTCAGCAAGTGGCCACGTGGACCATTCTCTCTGAAGGAGCCGTTAGCTGTATCTCAGTGAGAGCAGCTCATTGCCCTAGTCAGTGGGCAAGAAAGTGGGACCGAGCAGCCCACCCCCCTGCACAAGATCCAAGAACCAAAAGCAGCGTTCATTACTGTATCGGTTACTGACACACGATAGCATCAACATGACCTCCTCCCCACTGATTTCAAAAGCAGCTCCCACCAACGCATCCATCCCTGGCTTACCGTTTTACTGCTTTCTGAGCCAGCATCCTGTTGCCTGCCAGGAATGTGACGCCACCTAAAATGGCCAAGTACTTCAGAGTCTGGAACATGTTGAGCTGAGTCCAGTAGACATACATGAGTCCCAACATTGCTGTGAAAAAAAGACAGAGCCCATGGCTGAAATTGCATTTCAAAGACCAACCATTCGTTACCCTCAGAACAATTATTATGTTGTACTGCCAGGCCTAAGCATGGGGTTTCTATCTCATCTCTGAAGCTCTGAAATGGCAGATCTAAAGACTGTATGTTATTGCCGGGGGAAGAAGGCATCTGGGTCTCCGTAGTGGAGAAAAACGTGACACTGACGGCTTGCAGTCAACCCTCTTGTGCCAGAATTATGGACATATTATAGACATTAAGGGCTATTAAAAGGAGGAGGATACTCTGGATTCCAATGGAAGATATTAACCTTTGCACATTTGTAGGAGCTTCCAGCTTTATAAAGCTTCCAAGGAAGCTGCCTTGGATTACACAACACATTGTCATTTGGGAAACAGCAGATCCAATGTTCTCCCAACCTGCTATGTTTTTGAAATTCTGTCAAGACAGTAAAGAACTGTGCAACCAACGGCACAATAAAATTGATGGAAAAAATTGGTCCAGCCAAAGAACAAGAGCAGCTTTCACAGGAAGAGCTTTAAAGAAAAGATGTAGATGGCAGCCCTGCAGGTTTCAATCCCCACAGAAACTCCCTGCTTACAAAGGATAAACATGCAATAAAGAAAGCGTGACCTCTGGAAATAAGAAGTTCTATTAAGTACAGATAAATGGTGTGTGAGAGGAGCCCAGATAATGACCTCTGTTATAAGCTGATGGCCAAAACAGGTTTATCACCATATTAACAATCATGAAAAGCAGGAAGGCAGATGAAAACAAGAGAACAAATGTTATGCTATTATGTCATTATAGTTAATAGACTGCAAGCCCATTAACCACCAGGGCTCTCATCCGTAACTCCCACGTGAGAAGGTCAAACAAAGCAGAAAGCCTCTGACACTTACCAGCATGTCCCATGTGAAAAACAATGGTGCTGGGAGCAAAGCTGAAGTTGGAGATGTTGGCACCTATCTTTATCCACTAAAAGGGAAAGAAACAAAACCCGAGTTACAACGGCCTTGTAAACACAAGCTTTTATTTTAAACTTCAGTATCTTTCAAGCCTGTTTGCTTTAAGTTCCTCGATGAGTACAGTGTATTCTCTACAGAAGCACTTGTTTCCTACTACAAGAGGACAGACTAGTAGTTTTGCTGAAGACAGCACTGTTGAGCTCCTTTACAGAAAATTTCTCCTGCTGCTTCTGACTGACCAAAGGCAGTTCCTCAGTTATCTTTCTTAAACTGATGAGACGGTATTGCTCCGAATCTACATTTTCCAGAGAACCAAACATTGCTATTTCCATCCAGCTGAATTAATTTTAACTAAAAAGACAAAACAGGTAAGGTTCTAGCTTTGGACTCGGCAGAAGAACAGCTATAGCTACAAGATGTGTGCTCATAAAAACAATTTCAGTTTTTAGAGTACAAAAGAGAAAGGCATGAAGGATGGAAAACAGGAGCAGTAGCAATGAGATTTTTCATTAAAGTGTCATCAACATGTATATTGTGAACTCCAGAGACCAGTGGACGCGACTATCTGAATGCCAGCTTGCAGTGAGACGAGCTAATGGGAAATTACTGCCAAGCAAGTAAGGGATCAGTTTCATCCTCCAAATAAGGAGTAATTTAGCTTGCCTAGATGAGATTTTGTATTGCATTAAGTTCAAAACACTGATCTGATGATACAGTGAGTAGCAGTAGATGTTTCAACTACAGACACACAAATACCAATTATGTCCATAAATGGGAATCAATCTGATAGGATTAAGTAACACAGATGTTGTGATGGATATTTTAAGTGCAAGGCAGAATCACTGCTTTTTTTCCTGTGGAAGTCTAATGTTAGTTATAAATTAATCTGCCCAGTGTTATTCAACATCCCTAGCAGAAGCACACTGAAGAAACTCATACCACCTACTTCTACTTGGCAGCAGTATTTCTGTTTTGACTATAAACTCAACAAAAAACCCAAACGAGTTTAGGAAAGAGACAATACCAGACCAACGCTCTGCACCGACATTTGCTAGCTACGACTGCAGCACTGCTGTGCTAGTCATGATTAACCAAGAGTTTTAATGGAAGTTTAGCTGGCCAGCCTCCTAAGTGACCTTGGACTGGATGGGAAAAAACTTTCTTCTGTGGCCCAGTTCACTCACCAGAATGAGCAGCAAAAGCAGGGGGGAAAGAATCAATGCTGTGAAAGTGTTGGATACCACAGTGGGAGGCCTCTTCTCAGGTTCCCTGAAGAGGTGCTGCAAACAAACAAAACCAACTCGTAAGTAGGAGTATTCCAACAGAGCAGCTTCTCGGCTCCCCAGGGGACCAGCTGCAGCCCTGGTGCTGGTCCCAGACGTTCCTTTGGATCATAAGCATTCCTCTTAAGGCAAAGACTGACTCTTTAAAGTAGCGTCTATTCCAGTCTCTGCACATTTGATTTCTTGCACAGTTAACATTTCCTTGCACTCGCAGAAGCAGTTGTTAGCTTGTCATCAGCACAGAGGGCTGGAATGAAGCAGGAGAAATCTTCAGAAGCAGAGAGCTTTCTGCGGTGCTTACCTAGTCAAATTTTCATGTTTGAATCTTCTCAGTGACACCAGTTGCTCTCTCACAGGTAGGACACACAGCTTATTTATTCATACTCCAGAGGACTGCAATAAATTTCTTACCTTTAAGCAGTAACTGGTCTTCCTTTAATTGCATTACTTACACAGTATTAATTTTTTTTAATGAGAGATGACTTTTCAAAAATAAATGACGAAGAGAACAAATAATACTAGTAGGACTAGCCCCTCACGTCCACACATAATTTTTGACTGTACCTGGATTTCAGGTTTGGGAACAAAGAGGTTCTTGGACTGGACTGTGGATGGTGCATCCTCTTCTGGGAATTTGATCACAACATCAGCCTGAAATGAAATCGTGCAGCTTCATGAAGTTTGATCTTAATGTATTAAAAGTTTTATAAAACCTACTCCATTACTGTGGCCTATTTCCTTATTTGTCAATCTACGATTAACATGATTTTTAAAGGAAACTAAGAAAAAGCCACCAGATCTTTTAAGAAGCAATTTCTCCTGAACAGAGGCATAATGCCACTCACCCATCACTAAGAATTGGACTTATTTCCAGCATAGCAAACAAGGAAAGGCTAAACCTTGAAGTGCTTGCTGTGAATTTACGATCAAACCCATAAATGTTCTGAAGTTTCTGTTCCACCACATGATGAAACGTATGTTCATTTCTGTCTTGCTTTGATGCTTACTTAAAAACTTAAAGTGAACAACAAACCTCAGAGCCCATAAACGGGCCAAAAGGATTCTGGTTCACTACAAAGAACAGAACATTTGAGCTTTTTTCTTCCAAGCCTGTACCATGCCCTCCTGTTAGACTGCCAGTAATCTCAAAACCACATCACCACACTTCCAGCTACATACCACATTCCACAGGATTGGATTTTCCAGAGTGGCATCTCCAATTATCAAGTAAAGAGTGTAGGTACCAGAGGCAGAGTCAAATTCAGTCTTTCTTTCAGAGGTATCCAGTTCAAACTTGTATATGTTCTTGCTGTCTGGTTCTGCAACGAACACTACCTCCTGGCCGGTCTTTTGGTTGTGAAGTCGGACAAAAGTCTGAAAGGAAAGGTTGTAACATTTCTGGAATATCTCATAGCGCGTTCACAAATGCCAGCAAAATGAGAGATTTCCCCCCAAATCAAAAAGCACAACATTAACAAAAGTTGGAGTATAAACTGGGAGCCCAGGTGTCTAGATCCCTGCAAATCAGCAAAGTTCTGTATCTCTTTGAGTAACTACATTCACACAGGACCAAGACCGTCCAGTCGCCCACTTGGAGTACAGGGCAATATATCGGATGTTATTTGACAGGGTATACGCAACAGCACAAAGAGACATATGCAGATACGGTTTTTGTTGGGTCCTCCCCCGCCTTTTTTCTATTTTAAACAGAAAAAATAAAATTTTAAAGAAAGTCTAACATTCAAGGACTTTTTCAGCAAACAATCTATATTAAAAAATCAGAAGTGTGCTTTTACAGTGCAGGCTACCTGCACTCATTTTGTTGAGTTTAGTAAGACACAGTACCAGAGTCAGAAGAGGCTTCATTTAACATACAGTCAAAACAAATGAACTGAATCCACTTCCCAACTACCAAGATCAGTGATCTTTCACAGTCCCTGTCAGAAACATAAGGCTTCTCAAAACCTATCAAATCTTTTCAAGAGCAACTGTCGCCTCAGATGCTTTAAGATGGAACATCTTGGTGACACAGCAATGACAAAAATTTGTCCTAACCTGGTGAGGGATGAGTTCAGCTCCACTGTTCACGTCTATCAGCTGGAAGGATAAAGCAAAATTCTGATGGCTGTCAGCAGTGAATGAGCCCTTGGCTTTGGCTGGGTAAGCTACCCTAGGAGGAAAAAAAACCAAACAGAATTGAGGTGATCTGCCAAGAGAAAGCCTGGCGTTCAAAGAAACCGAGGCATGCAAAGCCTGTCTAGCAGTACCGCAGTCTACTCGGCATAGATGAGCTGTTTTATCAAAAAGTCAGGTGAACTAACATGCCTTTCTCTTCCACCATAAATTGTTTGTGTGGAAATGAATGGGATTTTTTTAGTAGGATTTTTGTGCACTACACACCTTGCCCATTTTCAAGTAAAACAGTTGTTTGTTGTAAGGTTCAAAGGAACACCAGAAGAAGTTTTTGCTAATACTACACCCCACATTCCATTCAGTCAAGGCTATGGTGTGATGGCAGCAGAACAGAAAAAACAGACACTCAAACTTCAGCACAGGAAGGCTGTATCAACACACACAGAGGGGCCTCAGTGAGGCTGTGCAACCTAAATTAAATTCCATACATTACATTCTAACTGATGTCAGTTAAGAAAAAGGATTACATTAAGTTCAAGTACACCTAGCAATGGTACAGCCACCCCCGCCAAATACAGTGTACATGTTGCTTTAGAGCATCTCTACCGAAGCCAAATAATACCAGAAACATTAACACAATTATTTTAACTTGCTTTCGCTATGGAGAGGTGCCAACAAAGGAACAGAAGACTCAGGTTGCCTGGCTTCTGTTAGTGCTTATTTCAGTATTAAGGAAAACCACCTACAAAAATAACCAGTATTCTCCCAGTGAACTCACAGGTTTAAGAGAAACAGCATGGGTATAACTCTGTAGTTATTCCAATACAAGATTCCTCTGGTTAAGCTGAAGTCGGTAAAGCTCAGAAGACCTCCACTCTAGAGCCAGAGTTGCCCCTTAAAGAATCACACACTCTGAGTTGTTTTACCTGGTTGTTTTTGGTGCAATGCTCTGATCTTTATCCACAGTAGAAAGATCTACATTAGTAATCCCAACTTCCGTGGAAACTTTTACTTTCAGCTGCAACAAAACACAATAGAAAATTATTCAGAGCACTCTACGCGTACTAATTATGGTCAAGTTCACTGCAGAAGCTTTAGCTCTTCTGTCCCCTTCCTCAAAGAGGGTCTTGCACTAAGCCAAAGACAGAACCTAACCGGAACAGAAGGATGTACAGCAATTTACCTTCCGGCAAGGCTCCTGCATCAGTCACTAACCCTAACCCATCCCCTTCCTCCTTGCACGAGCAGCCAGCTCTGAAGACACCAGCTTCTCAGTCACGCTGGAGTTAGCTGCCCTTTGGAGAACTGTTTTTAATGAAACAGTCCAACTATCCAGATCCAACTAGTTTTCCGTTTGAACTAGCAGAAACTAGCTATTAAAGATTACATCATATATGATACAACTTAAAACTGCATGTGCATATGTACTTCTGCTGGATAGCAATTTGAGATGAGAGGGGTCTCTGGACAGCAACCAGTTATGCCTTTGTTGGCTCCTAAAGCCTAACAGGTTTCTGCTGATTTTATTACCAGCAAGC